CTAAAAAATACCAAAGTGTCGATCACCTCAGGCAAGCGCTTCGCCGGGAATGGGCCAAAATACCGCAGAGCAACATTCGGGCAGCGTGTGACGCTTTCATCGGCTGTTTGAAGGCCATAATTCGTGCGAAAGGTGACCAATTCGAACAAATCTAAACTTATTCAAAAATTTGATGCTATTTTTGGTTTCATTTAAAAAAAAGTAAAAATTAGGGCGTTTGACTTTGTTGCAGTTTTTATATCTCATCCTGTATATTCCCAAGGTAAACAAAAATGGGAAGCTTTCAAGGCACTCGGTATTTCTAATAAAGTTAGATAATTGAGAAAAAAAATATTTTGCGTTTAATGACATTTTTCTACTTATGGGAAGGTGTATTTAGACTGATCATTAATTCATAATTCTCCCAAAAAAAAAAAAATAATTTAATTCTATTAAAATAGCGATTTCGGATGTAACTTTTTATAATTATTACTACTATAATGACTGCATAACATAGGATTTTTATACATTTATCATTAACTATTTTTTATGGCTCGAACAGACCTTAATGCCTGCAGCATTCTTTTTTATTTAAGTTTGCTTTCATTTGTGGCTTTGTTTTTTGGTGTTGACTGAGCGACTTTGTGTATTTCCAATTTTGGTTTGCAGCAATAAAATCATTTTCTGGTGAAAGGTCAGGTTTTTACGTGATTGGGCACCGGCAGTATGCTACAACGAATTTTGTGTTGCCTGCTACCCAATGTTTGTGAGTGATTTTATTTTTTGTTTTTATTTCTTTGGCATTTTGAGTTTATTGTATTTTTGTTGTTTTTGTTTTTCCCTCATGCTCTTATAATTGATTACAGCGGTTTCGTTTTAATGAATTCATACTAAGAAAGTAGTTACGGCATGCGGGAGTTTGAAACTGTATTTTGGTTTTATTTTTGTGTGGGCTTTTTTTATTTTTGGTAAGCAACTGTGGGAAACTGAATAAAGAAAAGCAGGGGTTAAAGTGGAATGACACCGCAAACGGCAACTTCTTTTATTACCAAATTTTTGTATTTCCACTGTACCTTTTTTTACGTCATAAAAGATTTTGGCGTTTTATTTTTTCATGAACGATGTTTTCTTGAGATGGAGAAAAAATTAAAATGAGTAATGGATAACATCATAACCGTAACTAAATATATTCAACAATGATAGAATTTAATTACATTAAATAGATATTACTCTGTAATTTAATTTTGAAAGGCATTTATTGGCATCACCGATTTTAAAAAATAATAATAAAACAAGGTATGCGGAATCAAGCCATTATAGAGCTATAGCTATATCTCAATCTCCAAATTTGATATACTTGCTTCTAGACTGAATTCGGCCAGATGTACAAAAATTCAGAACTTTTAGACAGATATTGGCCATATGGTGCACAATTAACCGGCAATCGGTTGAAGATATATATATGGGACCTATATCCAAATCTGAACCGATCTTGTTAAAATTTGGCAGAGGTATTTCCGAGCCCCATAAGATATCTGGCTCCAAATATCATTGTTGTCGAATGCATATTACGAATTTGAGGGACTTCAACACAAAATCGTATGAAACATATATATGGGAGCTATAGCTATATCTGAACCGATTATCTTCGAATTCGAAGTACTTGCTTCTAGACTGAATTCGGTCGGATGTACCAAGATTCAGGATTTTGAAATGAAATTGGCCATTTGTTGGACAATTAACCCGAAATCGGTTGAAGATATATTTGGAATCTTTATCCAAATCGGTACCGATCTTGATGCAACTTAGTGGATGTATTTCAGGGCTGTATCTGATATCTGCTACCAAATATCATTGTTGTCGAATGCATATTTAAACCGATTTTCACCAAATTTAATGTACTTGCTTCTAGAATGAATTCAGTCCGATGTGCAAAATTCAGGTAATTTGCACTAATATTGGTTATTTGGTGCACAATTAACCCGAAATCGGTTGAGGATATATATGGGAGCTATATCCAAATCTGAACTGATCTTGACACATTTTGATACACTTATTTCAGAGCTGTAGATTATATCTGGTACCATAGATCATTGTTGTGGAATTCATATTACACTTGTGAGGGACTTAAAACTCCAAATCGAATGAAAATCGAAATCAAATGAAAATCAAATCGGAGCTAAAGCTATATCTGAACCGATTTTCTCCAAATTTGACTTACTTGCTTCTAGACTGAATGCGGGGGGATGTACCAAAATATAGGTCATTTGGACTTAAATTAGCCATTTGGTGCACAATTAACCCGAAAACGGTTGAAGATATATGGAAGCTATATCTAAATCTGAACCGATTTTGAGAAAATTTTGCAGAGGCATTTCCGAGCTCTATAAGATATCTAGTACCAAATATCATTGTTGTCGAATGGATATTATGAATGTGAGGGACTTAAATTCTAAATTGAATGAAACATATATATGGGAGCTATGGCTATATCTGAACCGAATTTCACCATATTTTATGTACTTGCTTCTAGACTGAATTCGGTTGGATGTGCAAAAATTCAGATAATTTCGACTTACTGGAAGATATATGAGAGCTATATCTACATTTGATCCGATTATTTGAATTAGGTTCGTTCTTGGGCCAAACAAAAAATTGTTTGGAGAATTTCATTTCAATCGGATAATAAATGTGACCTGCAGTTTGTTCACAAGAATACATGAAGAAACGGACGAACGGACAGGCGAACTGACTGACATGCTTCATTCTACTCAGAAACAAGTTAAAAAGCAGTAAGTTCGGCCAGGCTGAACTTTGAATACCCTCCACCATTTGGAACGAATTTGGAATTTTTAAAAAATTACTATCCGTTAAAAATTCTGTTAAAATCTTAAAAATACCGAATGTAGCTGTTACATAAGGGTCTATACGACGACACGGAACTACATAGGTAACTTTTGTCATAAGCCATTACAATATTCAAATGCGAACCTTAAACAACTCGGTGAATAATGTAGCTAAAATCATCAAAATACCGAATATCGCGAGGTACCGTTATATGAGGGCTTTATGAAAACGTGGACCTACATGACCCATTTACGAACTTAACCTGCCTACTGGAAAAATAAACATGTCTGCAAAATTTTAGCCTTCTACCTCGATTCGTTCGAAAGATAGCGTGATTACAACAGACAGACAGACGGACAGACAAACAGATGGACAAATCGACATAGAATTTTACGCTGATCAAGAATATACATATAAAAGGCTACAGTCGAGCGGGGCCGACCGTTGAATACCCTACAACACTACAATAAACGATACAGTTTATATAGGCGAGATACTCGAAAGAATTCCACAAGATATTGTGACAAATAATAAAAGAAAACCATCAGGTTTCGTTCTCTAATTTTCGAATAATAGCAACTTAAACTAATTTGCTCATTTCCAATTTATTGGTAGATGTTGCACTTAAATGGTCTTCCTAGATCTGGAACCAATATTTCCCAAAGACCCATAATCTCTCAAAAGTGGCAAAAGATTAACATTTATTATTGGTTTTTGACTGAAACGCATCTATATGAGATACAGCCATTTGACTATATTCTTCAACGAAATCAGCCTTAACGAAATAGTCAGAAGTACGTCTTTTCTGTATTTGTGAATTCTCCAAAAAGTCACTGGAATGGATATTTTCGTATTTTGTCTACAAAAGTTGGCATGCCATCCAAAACTATTTGGCTTTTGGTAACCTCCATTCAAATGCGCGTGAACATCGGGCGATAATTACGACTTGCTGACAATTTTGCAGTTTTTTTGTCCATTTTAACCCCTAAATATATGGCGATTATCTCCAAAAAGAGTAGGGTTCTGACCCTCATCTTATCCCCATGCAAAATTTCATAAGGATCGGGCCATAAATGCGATCTCTATATGATATCCTGATATCCTAACTACTTAGTTTTGTTAGCTGTAGAAATATTACCAAATGTTTAATTCAAAATGAAAATATGCCAAAAATATGACAAAATTGAAAAAATATTACAAAATCAATATTTTCATCTTTAGAGAGATATTTTTATGCAATTTTTTTAGACGTTTTTTTCTTTCCTGCCAAGAGGCCATTTTGAATTAATAAGAACTGTCGAAATCAGTTCAGCCGTTCTCGACATATAAGAGATCTTTCACACATATCTTCTTAGATAGACATATATATCGCACATATTTTGCTATATATCCGATTTGTTGGATGTTAACATCAATGTAAAGATCAGAAGTAACCTTGTCATGGCTTTGTGATTTCGCCAAGATTAAAAATATTTGCGATTTAATGAAAAATTTTTAATTTTTTCAACACAAAAGATATGGTCTATTTTACCCGCTAAATATTATCCGATGACCACCCAAATTGGTAGGCTTCTTCCCCGCCCTGAACTCTAGCTACATACGAAATTCCGCGTCGATTGGTCTATAACTGCGACCTGTATAGCTACTGCAAAATCCGATATTTTTTCAGTATTTGGTCCATTTCAACCCCTAAACATTTGGCGATCATCTCCAAAAGAAATAGGCTTCTATTCTGACCCAAACCCCATCTTCGTGCAAAATTTTTCGTGAAGATCGGGCCATAATTGCGACCTGTAGCGTGATTACAAATTAACATGGACAGACGGACGGACGGACGGACAGACGGACGGACGGACATACATAGCTAGATCGACTCAGCTCGGCGAGCTAGGAAGATCCATATATACTTTCCTATATGGGAAACCAATATTTCGAGGTGTTACATAAATTCTGGCACAATCAAACTTATAATACCCCCAACACATAGTGTTGTAGGGTATAAAAATATCTTTACTTGACAAAAGTATTCTCTTCTATCTGATTCCCAGAATGGAAAACAAATTCATGAAAATCACTGCAAACTTACGAGATAACAATGGGAGGCACGCTATATATATGATATATTTTTCGCTTTTACCCTAAAATCCAAATGTCTAAAAAATTGCTTTACTCACGTTATATCTCGATCTTTGTTTTTCTTGGAATTATTTCTCAGAAGATTATTCAACTCTTTCATAACATCGCTGCCTTTGCGATCTAGCTCGGAGAACAGCTCACTGTCATCAATTTTATTTAAATCAGAACCACTGCGACTTTTAATGGACACCGATCTGCAATATTACAAAATTAATATTGAGTGTGAGACACATGAGAGACAGACTCCCACCTATCAATCGAATCCATGCTGCTGGCCATATCAAAATCCATCATCAAATCATCGGAACAAATTGATTCACATGGCGAGAGTGTGTCGAGCGACTCAGCCCGTTCCATCACTGCCTTGCGCACCGACAGAGGTGTACGCAAACTCAACTCCATTGCTTGGTATAGGGCACTGCGTGACCTATTCGTTTGGCTGTGTATGGAGTTGCGCAACGAACTTAAACTCTCCATCAGAGTTGGTGTATCGGTTCGATCTCTGCGCGATGCGCCGCTCTCTGCCCCACCATCCTGTGATTCTTGATTGAATAGTAGAGCCGGCTGATCGGCTATCTCATCATCAATTAAATTACCACAGTCCGAGAGAGACAGAGAACGCGAGCAGTGAGTTGGAGTACCGGGCGATAGAGGGCTAGCCAAGTCTAATTCTGGCGAAATTTCATCGATATCCTTCTCCTGCAATTCCTCATTGATTTTGTGTTTCTTTTGTTTGCAGGCCGCTCCTTCGGATTCGCTACTACTGACCAAGCTGTCAGTAGGTGAAGTTTCGTCATCCAATAGAAATGTGCTACCCTCCAAGGCCATTTCGGCAAATTTAGTCTCATTCAATGAGTTGCAAAGGGTTTTCGGGCGTTCCACCATATCGTCCATGACGTTATCGGATAGTACATCTAGTTTTGTGGATTCTTTTGGTAAAGCATCGATTTCATCGTTGAGCGTAACAGGTTCAGTTAGTGAAGCTGTAAAAATAATGGGTTAAAAATTGCTCGAAATTAAATGAATTATTGCTACATACATAATGTGCTGATTTGTACATCGGTATTTAGTGTGACCAGGTCATCATCATTAATTTCAAACGACAGATTACGTGCGCTTTCCTTTTTCTCCTCTAGGAGTTTATTGTCCTGCTTATTGCTATCCTCACTGCTATCCAAACTTAACGTACTAAAATCATTCGCTGCCAATGACTCGCCTGCATTACACCACGATGAAATAATTGAACTTCCGGGTGACGATGTTTTACTGGAACATGTATTGATGTCTTTGAATTGACGTTCCTAAAAATGAAAAAGAAAAAGAAATAATTTATTTTTATTTTGTTTACCAAGTACTTCACAAAGTGTAATTTGATGGGGTTACACAGGAGGTAAATTTATTTCACAGTTTTGCTTTGCTTCAAAAGTTTTCAATATCCATATCATGGCCTACATAAGGTCGGCCAGTAAGCCCATCTGACAACCGTTTGCCGTTAAAATACATATTTTGATTTGAATTTCAAAGAGAGTCAAATCGCAGTAGTGCAAAAACGACATTTTTGTCAAATTGTTGTCAAAAGCTCTTGGTTCCGAAGTAATGGGCGAATATTGTCCGGTTCGTATTGAAACTAAATAAATATGATATAAATATTGCCACGTGCCAAGTTTGGACTAGTAATCTTCTTCCTTTACCTTATATGAGATATGTGATCATTTTTAGAAAATGTTAAAACGTGCGTGAGGTATCAGATATAGTCGAATGAAAAATTCAATTTCACACTTCACCTAAAACAGATAAAACCTCAAAAGTCTGGCGGGGCCGACTATATGATACCCAACACCACTATGCATATTTAGTAGAGCTTTCGTAAAAGAAAAGTTTATATTGGGCATTTCTTAGCTCTATAAGATATCTGGTACAAAATATGATTATGGTAGAGTGCATATTCCGAACTTTGGAGATTTAAACACCAAATCAGATTAAATATATATATGGAAGCTATAGCTATATCTGAACCGATTTCCACCAAATTTAAAGTACTTACTTACTATACTGAATTCGGTCGGAAAGGCCAAAATTCACACCATTTGGACTGATATTAGCCATTTGGTGCACAAGAAACCTAAAATCGGATGACGATATATATGGAAGCTATATGCAAATCATAACCGAACTTGATAAAATTTGATTTATGAATTGCTAGGCTGTATCTGATATCTGGTGCTAAATATCAGTCTCGTGGAGTGCATATATTAAATGTAAGGGACTTAAACACCAAAATCGGATGAAACATATATATGGGAGCTATAGCTATATCTGGCCCGATTTTCACCAAATTTGCAGCACATGGCCGAATTTGCTCCGATGTAAAAAAATTCACACCATTTGGACTGATATTAGCAATTGGTGCACAAGAAATTTAAAATCGGACCATATCTAAATTTGGTCCGATTTTCACCAATTTTAATAGGGTTCGTCCTTGAGCCAAACAAATGTTATTTCGAAAATTTCATCTCAATCGAATGATAAATGCGACCTGCATTTTGTTTACAAAAATACATGGACAGACAGGCGGACGGACGGACATGCATAAATCGACTCAAGATGTGTTTCTATGCTGATCATAAAAAGGAACTATGGGTCTATCTCGTTTCCTTCTCCATGTTACAAACAAATGCACAAAGACATAATACCCTTACCACTATGTGGTGTAGGGTATAAATATTGGTATTGGCAAAATTTAAAGAAAATTGAACATTTATATCCGATTTTATGGGAAATCATAAATATCATATTTATCCCACGTTTCTGGTTGAGAGCAATATCTAGATGTAGCAAGTTTTAAAGAATCGCTGACTTGTTTCAGAATTTTCGACAGATAAAAGTATTGAAAATTTTGACAATTTTGTGAGTGAGGTACCAGAAGAAATGGTCCGATATCTACCATCTTTATAACAGATCTTATGTTTATGGAAATATTGAGATGTACCAATTCTGAATGAAATCGGATGTTAATTTCGAGTCTTATGAGCTTCATGGATATTCAAAATTGGGACCGTTTGTGGGGAGAGTACCAGGAGGAGAAGACCGAGATATCCCATATTCACAGCAGATCTTGTGTTAGTAAAAATAATGGGTTGTGTGAAAAACCGGATGCTTATCTCGGATTTTATGATCGTTTTGGCTATTCAAAACGTTGACCCTTTGTGGGGAGGTATCAGAAGAAATGGACCGATCAGATCTTGAGATAATATAAAATATTGAGATGTTCGTAGTCTAAATGGAATCGGATATTAATTTTGCGTTTTATGAGCTTCATGGATATTCAAAATGGTGACCCTTTGTGGTGGAGGTATTTGATGGAGTGGACCGATATTGTCCATTAGTCCACCAGACCAGACACTGATGCAAATAGTAGGATTCGCTTAGTTGGAGCACAATCGGTTCAACCTTTCTCTGTCTGTGAATTATTATTATTATTATTATTTTTTTTTTCATATTCATACCAGACCTTGGGTTAATAAAGAGATTGTTATGTGTGTAATTTGAAGACAATCGAACTCTTATAACACATTTTATAAGCGTTATAATTTTAAAAATTTTGACCCTTTGTGGGCTGATGTCATTTTCGTCGAATTTTTTTATTTTTTGAAAATTTCGACCTTTTGTTGGTACCAGAAGGAGTGGACCGATAATCCAATGGGCTTATTGGGAGGCGATTTCGGAGAACATTTTTTTCACTTTCAGGAACGGTAAATTGGCCACCTAGATCGTGCGATTTAACGCCTTTAAACTATTTTTGGAATGAGTATGTCAAAATTGAACTAAAAGGGTGGACAATTTTAGAAGCAGTCGCGTGTGCCGCGTCATAATTCCAATTTCAATTATGGAATGGGGATTATGAAAAAAAATCGATATAAAAATCGAATAAGGATTATATCCAAAACGATTGCGGACATAAACCCCATTATGGGGTAAATATTTTTAGCCTGAATACGGCAAAATAATTTGTTCATCTGGGAAATACCCGGTTATTCGACCCTGAAATTTTGGATACAAATTCCGGGTTTTATTCGGTTCTACAAATCTAATGTGTAGCTTATGGAAATACTGATTGAATCCATTCTGGAGCAATACAAGGAAATTGGTATTTTTGTACCAGAACTTTTTGAAAAACTCCTAAAAAGTCGAAAATGGACCAAGTAAGGGGCGTTAAGATCTATATACTACAGCCTACATTCTTGCCCTTCAAAAAATGGTGCCAAATGTGCGGATATCTTTTGTCGTTCCGAATATGCTTGTGATAAAAATCATAAAACTGAGATTTTCTCTACGAATATGTATCAAAGCAGCCTTCGGCTGGGACTAAAGGCTTTCTCATCTGGAGTATGTTCAACATTAGCTACGCGATCCAAAGTTTTTCTAAACGTTATAATTTTTGTATGTGGCCAGCGCTTGGGATTTTCTCCTCTGGGATATGTCCAACACTGGCTACACGATCCATAGTTTTTGTAAGTTTAATAACTTTTTTTTTTCCAATTTAAGGTCAATCCGGGTATAGTCCCTAAACTCAACTAAAACCTTGTTTTATTTTTCACCGCAGCATGTCCGTTTTGGAAGCTGACATAATGCCCACTTTAATATGGGGGTTAAAACGGGTCATAATCCACATAATTGCAATGGGGATTACATACGTGGGGACTATGTCCGAGCACCACTGTCGCTGTAGCTTATAGTTCTTCGAATTATATATATTTTCAATGGATAGGACCAGGTGGCTTAAATTTTGCTCATAACCATATTATGGGATGGAAGTGGGCACTTATCGGTTTACGTTTTTCTACAGCCCTACTAAAACTAAGCCGACCTAATTTAAGCAAAGATTTTGACATTGATTTAGATCCGATTTAAATTATGTAATTAAATGCTGGCAAATATAAATATTCAAAAAAATGTACCTTTGCTCCTTTCTCCGTGGCCGATCTATCCAGATGTAGCTTTTCCTCGTCAACAAATTCACTATCTTCCTCCGAAGCTTGCCTCGATGTTGATTGACTTATGTTACCCAAATCAGTATCCAATTTTACTAAAATTACACAAAATTCAAATAATTATTAAGGCCTCTCCAAAAAATATACTTCCCTAAGTACCTGTTTGTTTCTGTTTATTTTCAGCATTGCGTGACTCATAGGATTCACGACTCAATACCGTATTGGAGCGTATCAAACCGCTAAGCGGTAGTGGCACAGTTTGATTTTCAGTTGGCAACTTTGGTAAGGCCAAAGGTTCAACAATAGAACTATCTCCACTCGACAAGGAGTCATCCAAATCTCTCACCTCGAAACGATGGCGACCATTCATAACCATCTGCAAATTACGTGGACGACTGCGACTTCGTTTCGGAGATGATTTGTGGGCGCCAGAACTCATTCGACTGGAACCGGAACTGTCGAGAGCCATGTCAAGACTAGCAATACCCGAATCAGCAGAAATCTCTCGGCTGCCGGAGAATGTTCGTCGTGTGCTGTTTGTCATATGTTTGGCTGCTTTGGAATCCAGACGTGGAGCGGTTGACTGGGCCACTGTCAGTGGATGCTGTGGACGGTTCCATGAATTGTCTCGGGGGCGTGACGATGTCGATGAGGAGGAATTGTATGAAGTGCTGGCTGGTGTTGTTGGCGTCGATACATTAATGCTAATGGGTACAGCAAATTCCGGCTTTGGTAAACTGACTGTCTGAAGAGTGTATTTGGTATAAGCTGTTGCAGTTGTTGTTGCCGGAGCCGTTGTCGTTGAGGCCAATGGCAGTCTGGCTGTGGGCCGTAGTCTAAGTAAAAAAAAAGATATAGAATGTCTAAATACAAATTTATTTCTATGCACCACTTACATGACATTGTTGTGCATGCCCGTTGTAATGACATTACTGTTTGCCATTCCTCCATAGCCATGGCGACCACTTATACCAGACATAGATGGCTGCTCAAAGAACTGACGCCTGTCATACTCTATGGTGCTGTTTTGTTTCAAATTGAATGTTATCGTCTTGGGCTGAGTGGCACGAGGTGCAGCACTTGCTTCGGTATCGCTTTCATTGGATGTGGATGGTGTACGTCCGGCATGTGCGCTCTTTGAGCGACGTTTCACTTACAAATGGGAAAGATAATGTGACGTTAGATAAATGCATTATACGCACATTAAAATTTATGAAAGATAAAAAAATACAAAACACAACAGGAAAACTTTAGCAGTTGCTGGCAAACTGTTAAGTTAGGTAGATGTAAAAACGTTGCTTTAATTTACGAAAAAAAAATTGAATACCCTCCACCATTTGGAACGAATTTGGCAATTCTCAAAAACAATAAAATCCGTTAAAAATTCTGTTAAAATCTTAAAAATACCGAATATATTAGGGTCTATACGACGACATGGACCTGCATAGGTAACATTTGTCATTAGCCATTACAATATTCAAATGCGAAACTTACAAAAATCGGTAATAATATAGCTAAAATCATCAAAATACCGAGTATCGGGAAGTACCGTTATATGGGAGTTATCATAGGCTGTAGCATCCATTACGAACTTCAAATACAAAATTTGAAAGAATTCCGGTGAACAATGTCGCTAAAATCAAAAATGTACCGAATATCGGGAGGTACCGTTTTATGGGGGCTATACCAAAACGTGGACCTACATGGCCCATTTTCAATTCCAAAAGTCCTTCAGACATAACATACATTTGAGTAAAATTTTATCAATCTACTTCAATTCGTTCGGAAGCTAGAGTGATTTCCATAGACGGAAAGACGGACGGACATTGCTAAATCGACATAGAATTTTATGCTGATCCAGAATATATATACTTTATGGGGTCTAAAATGTATATTTCGAGGTGTTACAAACGGAATGACAAACCTAATATACCCTCCATACTATGGTGGAGGGTATAAAAATAAATAATTAAAAAAACGAGGTTCTCAATTCGCTCTCTATTCGTTTTTGTTTCCTTTGAAATGTGTGACTTTAACTTGTAGTTGAAAAAATATATGGGAATTATATCCAACTCTGAATTGATTTTCACCACATTTGTACCTCTCGTACCAAAAAACATTGAAAAATTCAGTTGAGTGTTCAAAAATCTGTATCTGTATCCAAAGACTTAACACCAAATCATTTGAAACATATATATAGGCGCTATATATAAATTTGAACCAATTCTCATTAATTTCAATAGGGTTCGTTCTTGGGTCAAACAAACACGGACGGATAAACGGACAGACAGACGGACATGCATCAATCGACTCAGAATATGATTCTATGAGGATCTTCAAAAGGAACTATGGGTCTATTTCGTTTCTTTGACCATTGAAAATGTATCTGAAATCACCACTTTCAAATATTAGGAGGTTTTGTTATCTGTGGCTATATGAAAATCTAGACCTGTATAGACGTTTAGCAAATGTATCTGAAATCACCACTTTCAAATATTAGGAGGTATTGTTATCTGTGGCTATATGAAAATCTAGACCTGTATAGACGTTTAGCAAATCCAAAATTTAAACCAATTATATTAAAAAAAACAAGTAAGCAAAGGCTACAGTCGAGCGGTGCCGACCGTTCAATACCCTACAACACTATAATAAACGATACAGTTTATATAGGCGAGATACTCGAAAAAATTCCACAAGATATTGTGACAAATAATAAAAGAAAACCATTAGTTTTCGTTCTCTAATTTTCGAATAATAGCAACTTAAACTAATTTGCTCATTTCCAATTTATTGGTAGATGTTGCACTTAAATGGTCTTCCTAGATCTAGAACCAATATTTCCCAAAGACCTATAATCTCTCAGAAGTGGCAAAAGATTAACATTTATTATTGGTTTTTGACTGAAACGCATATATATGAGATGCAGACATTTGACTATATTCTTCAACGAAATCAGCGTTAACGAAATAGTCAGAAGTGCGTCTTTCCTGTATTTGTGAATTCTCCAAAAAGTCACATTTTCGTATTTTGTCCACAAAAGTTGGCAAACTATTTCACACAATGAATATTTTTGGATGGCCATCCAAAACTGCTTGGCTTTTGCAATGTCCGGTAACCCCCATTCAAATTGCGTGAGGATCGAGCGATAATTACGACCTGCTGATAATATTGCAGTTTTTTGGTCCATTTCAACCCCTAAATAAAGAAAGCTAAAAGAAATAGGGTTCTATTCTGACCCTATCCCCACCGCCATTCTAAATTTCGTGAAGATCGGGCCATAATTGCGACCTGTAGAGTGATTACAAATTAACATGGACAGACGGACAGACGGATATACATAGCTAGATCGACTCAGCTCGGCGAGCTAGGAAGATCCATATATACTTTCCTATATGGGAAACCAATATTTCGAGGTGTTACATAAATTCTGGCCCAATCAAACTTATAATACCCCCAACACATAGTGTTGTAGGGTATAATTAAGCAAGGGCTATAGTCGTTCGGGGCCGAACATGTGATACCCTACAACACTACAATGCGTTAGAAGCCTCCCTTATGTCCAAATCTATTTTGGAAGATTTCACTTATGAAATTTTGTCATAGAACATTGCCCAGATATTACCCTTAGCTTTTTGACCAGGGGCATTTGCCCAATATTTACGCACTCCGTCGTGTTGTTAGTTGTTGTGGTCCTTTTTACATTTCACAGCTAAGTATAATCCAATGGTCATCCAAAATGCTGCACTTCTTCGCTGTCCTTAACTCTCTTTTCAGGCAAAATTCTGTGTATATTGGTTTCAATTGTGTGATCAAGAAATTTTTTTATTTTTGGTTTTTTTTGAACCCCTAAATATTTTGCGATTATTTCTCCAAAAGCAAGAAGCCACTCTGTATCTCCAAATTTAGACTCGTCTATATGATTTGCTCGTCTACGATATTTGGCTATATTCATCAACGAAATCAGTATAAAAAAGTCAGAAGTATTAGGATTTTTTGTGTATTTAGGATTTCGCTTGCAAGTTATTTTCAGCGTTTCGGTAGAATGGAAATATTGGTATTCACACAAAAGTAGTGGTCCATTCTACCCGCTATCCTAAACCCTAACTTAATGCGAGATTTCATGTCCTTTGCTTTCTATTTGTGACCGGCTGCAAAATAAGGAACAATTTTAGTTGTTTGTCCATTTCAAATGTAAGGTGGAAAAATATTACAAAATGTACACATCAATATTATAAGTCAAATTGGAAAAATCGCCAAGAGGGCATTTTGAATTGACAAAATTTGTCAAAATCAGTCCAGCAATTCTTGAGATATAACCATCTGATTTTACATTAATTGTGCATCAAATTATAAGTATAAGCCCAAATTGGATGAGTTTTACAACCTGAGTTGACAAAATATATAGCCGAACGTTCGCAAATTTGTCGACTGAAAAAATGTGTTTTTGATGTAAATGCTTTTATGTCCACATTTTTTAAACGTTTTCCCGGCATTTTTATACCCTCCACCTTGGAAACGAGGGTATATTAACTTTGTCATTCCGTTTGTAACATTCTTAAATAAAGTATATATATTCATAATCAGCATAAAATTCTAAGCCGATTTAACGATGTCCGTCTGTCCGTCCGTCTGTCTGTCTGTCCGTCTGTCTGTCTGTTGAAATCACGATACAGCCCACATTATTTGACGTAGAGCGTCAAAATTTAGCACAGAAATTTGTATTGTGTCTAGGATGGTTGGTATTGAAAATGAGATATATCGGTCAACGTTTTGATATAGTCCCCATATAACGGTATCTCCCGATATTCGATATTTTTAATGCCACATTTTTTCACGGATTTGTGTGAAAATTGGTATTTGTAGGCCATAACAGGTCCCAGTTCGTGTGGCAAAAAATTGCATGTATAGGTTCACGCTTTCGATAGCCCCCATATGAATGTACCTCCCGATATTCGGTATTCTGATTATGTTTGCCACATTTTTTCACGGATTTGTCTAAAAATTGGTATTTGTTGGTCATAATGGGTTTCCATCTCCAGTGGAGAAACATTGCATGTATGGGTCCACGATTTGGTATAGCCCCCATATAACGGTACCTCCCGATATTCGGTATTTTGATGGTTTTTGCCACATTTTTTCACTGATTTTTCTAAAAATTGGTATTTGTAGGTCATAATGGGTCCTAGTTCGTGTGGCGAAACATTGTATGTTTTGGTCCACGTTTTGGTATAGTCCCCATATAACGGTACCTCCCGATATTCTGTATTTTGATGGTTTTTGCCACATTTTTTCACTGATTTGTCTAAAAATTGATATTTGTAGGTCATAATGGGTCCTAGTTCGTGTGGCGAAACATTGTAATTACAGGTCCACGTTTTGGTATAGTCCCTATATAGCCGTATTTCCCGATATTCGGTATTTTGAATATTTTTGGCACATTTCCCCATGAATATGTCTAAAAATTGATATATGGGCTCTAATGTTTTCTTTACCCTAAGGTGGAGGGTATTAACAGTTTGCCAACTTAATGCTTTTCCACTTGTTCAATTTTATTTTATAATTTTTTGTTATGTTTTAAATTTTTTTGGGTTACCACAAGCCGGTATAAATGCCTCTATCCTATTAAGTGGAAATCAACTCTGAGTAGGATATGCCTCCCTCATATCAGTGTCATGCGATTCAATTTATATTTGCCGTTTTAAAAAAAAATTACAGTTGATATGATAAACATAAATTCCCAAATACAAACGTTTAATTGTTAGGGGTAGCTCTACTAAAAATGCATAATGGCGTAGGATATCATGTATCCGATCCAGCCCGACTTTACACCATTCAAAACTGTTTTAATTTCTCAAATATGGATTTACCCATGGCACAATGATATCAAGGTAGGACTATGATACCATATGATTTTAATTTTTTTATTTTCTTGGCTTAATATGTCTTCTTTATTTTTTATACCCTACACCACAAGGTGGTCAGGATATTATGTCTTTGTGCATTTGTTTGTAACAGGCAGAAGGAAACGAGATAGACCCATAGTTCCTTTTGATGATCTGCATAGAATCACATTCTGAGTCGATTTATGCATGTCCGTCCGTCCGTCTGTCCGTCCGTCCGTCTGTCCGTCCGTCCGTCCGTCTGTCCGTCTTTCCATGTATTTTTGTAAACAAAGTACAGGTCGCATTTATTGCCCGATCCAGATGAAATTTTGCACAGATCATTAGTTTGGCCCAAGGACGAACCCTATTGAAATTGGAAATAATCAGTCAAAATTTAGATATAGCTCCCATATATATCTTCGTCCGATTTGCCTTTTATTGTGCACCAAACGTGTAATATCAGCCCGAATTGTATGGAATTTTGCATATACACTCAAATTAGGTCTGAAAATATGTATGTTAAATTTGATCGAAATCGGTTCAGATATAGCTATAGCTCCCATATATATTGTTTATCCGATTTGTTATTTTTGTCCACCGCCGCCGTAATATGCACTCTGCAACAACAATATTTGGGGAAATAAATCAAATGCAGCTCAGAAATACATTTGCTAAATTTTATCGAGATCGGTTCAGATTTGGATATAGCTCCCATATATAACTTCGTCCGATTTACTTTTTATTGTGCACCAAACGTCTAATATTTGTCCAAATGGGATGGAATTTGGCACTTACGACCGAATTGGGTCTAGAAGCTAGTATGTCAAATTTGGTGAAGATCGGTTCAGATGTAGCTATAGCTCCCATATATACTGTTCATCCGATTTGTCATATTTGTTACCCACAGCCGTAGTATGCACTCCGTAACAACGATATTCAGGGAAATATATCAAATACAGCTCAGAAATATCTTTGCCAAATTTTATCGAGATCGGTTCAGATTTGGATATAGCTCCCATATATATCTTTATCCGATTTCAAATTAATTGTGCACCAAATGGGCAATACAATTCCGAATTTAAAAGATACAAATGCTTCGGCATATTTAGTCCTTTGAACTTTAAGTTATAATTATAATCATAGCGTGTATGATTCAATTCTCCCATAAAAACTTTTATTGTTATGTGGAGCTCTACTAAATTAGCAAAGTGGTGTAGGGTATCATAAAGTCGGCCCCGCCCGACTTTAGGACTTTCTTTACTGGTTTATGAATGTGTTTTCTTTTCAATAACAAAAAAATTGTTCAGAAAATATTCAAATTCGGATGTTTTCAAAATGTTTATTTCAACGTATGCATCGACAAAATCTAGAGTTTTTGTAGCGAAATAATCCTTTAGAGATATATAGTACATGATTTTGAAAAGAAGTGTTGACCTTTCATTCAGTTATCGCGGTTTTCAATAATTTATTCAAAATAAATGCAACAAGTTGTTTGATTTTTTATTGTTATGATACTAATTTTGACATTACAAGCCAAACAGGTAATTTTTTCAAAGTTGACCTACCTTCTCTTCATTGTACCATGGATTTACCGGTAATTATTTTTGGCAAACTGAGAAAATTCAAGAAACTGATCAATAGCCCTGCCTTCGATGACCTTAGCTAAAATATTCTGATCGTTTTTTTGTTGAATGTTAAATATTTCTACAACATTAATTCAGCCATTTGCTTGCTATTGATATAAATCGTTATCTTGAATTTAAATTACGCTTTGAAATAAATGCAAAACGTGCTGTCATTAAAAAAAACTTTTTGAGCAATGAACACCTATCCCTTCAATTACAAAATACTAAAACACCTCACTTCTCCACTCACACACACACACTCACACATCGCTAAAAACAATACTTACAGTTACTCACGAGTTGTCCTTTGATGTTGTTTCCTGCTGTTGCATTGTTATTTTTCTCAACGTTATCGTTCGTTTCGTTCTTACAACGAGATGTTATATCTGTAGATGATGGTCGTATTGGCCCACGATAGCCAAAGCGGCTGCCGGCACCAGGTAGTAGAACATTTCCATTACCGCCGCCACCACCACCTCCAACGCCCGTCAACAACCCTGTTGTATTGTTTGTGACTGTTGATGTGTTGCCAGAGTTCAAGTTGTTTGCGGCCACTGCTCCCATTTTATCAAAGTGAACATTGTTGAGTAAATCTAATTAAAAATGGAATAATTAAAAAAATAGAAAAACATATTCATAAATGAATATTGGTTATTTTGTTTTATGGGAAGTATGCCAAAGTTGATTTACCTGCATTGCCATTATCGTCCTTCGTCATTGTTGGGTTGGTTGTTGTCATACCTGTTGTACTTTTCCCATCATTTCCAGCATTGGTTTGAGCGAACTTCGTGCCATTGTCTGCTGTATCATAACCAGCCGAATCAATTTGCTCAGCCGAAATGTCAGCTTCTGTGTCATTCGTACAGACATTATTACATTTATCCTGTTTCTTTTTGCCGTTTTCTCCCTTTAGCAATTTTTTCAATTTCTTAGGCGTTGTATTGAGATTTTTGCGAAATCCAAAAGACATGGCCGTACCTTTGGTTTGAATTTCACCTGCATTGTGTTTCTTTGAATGCCTTTTGCTTTCGGTTTGACCCTAAAAATGTCAAAGAAAAATGTGTATAATTGAATTAGACAAGAGAGCATATATATGTACACATAAATAAATGTTTGTTTGAAATGAATGAGTTGGCCACAATAAATGTACACATGGGTGAGTTCAAAATAGAGATGTCGTTAACCATAAAACGTGGGGTTCTCTGTTCTCCTTTCATACAGACATTGTAAACTACGAATAAGAAAAGATATAAAACAATTTAGGATTGGCAAAACAATGTATAGGCACATGTGCCACTTTCAGCACTGCTTGTAATGATAGTTACATGCCCTTTGCTTTACTAGTAGGCAATATTGACAGTAAGTCAAGCAGTTAGTAAGACCTAGAAAATGCATAAGACAAAATAGCTTACTTTTATCTTACTAAAAATGATTAGACTAAAAGACTCAAGCCACGAAGTCGGATACGAATTATGTCAAGTAAAAATGCAGCTAAGTTCGTCCATTCCGAACCTTTTAAACCCATTTGAAAGGAACTAGCTCAATATAAAAAAGTCCACTGAAAAAAGCAGCAAAAATTTAAAACAAGTAAAAAAATATTAAGTTGTGCCGGACCAAACTTTTAATACCCTCCACCTTAGTGTAAAGGAAAAATTAGAAGAAATGTGACAACAACCATTAAAATAACGAATATTGGGAGGTATCGTTATATGGGGGCTATACCAAATCGTGGACCCATACATGCAATGTTTTGCCACACGTACAGGGACCCGTTATGACCTACAACTACCAATTTTCAGACAAATCTGTGAAAAAATGTGGCATAAATCATCAAAATACCGAATATCGGGAGGTACCGTTATATAGGGACTATGCCAGAACGTGGACCGATATATCTCATTTTCAATACCAACCATCCTAGACACAATACAAATTGCTCTGCTAAATTTTGGCGCTCTACGTCAAAAAATGTGGGCTGTATGGTGATTTCAACAGACAGACAGACGGACTGACAGACAGACGGACATCCTTAAATCGACTTAGAATTTTATGCTGATTATGAATATATATATACTTTATGGTGTCTACGACGAATATTTAAGGATGTTACAAACGGAATGACAAAGTTAATATACCCTCCTTTCCAAGGTGGAGGGTAAAAAAACGCAACAAAGTCAAACGCCATAATTTTATTTTTTTTTTTTTTAGATTTTATTGAATAAAAGTAAAAAATGTCGGAAATAGCATCAAATTTTAGAATAAGTTTAGATTTGTACGAATTGGTCACCTTTGGCACCAATTATGGCCTTCAAACGGCCTATGAAACCGTCACACGCTGCCCGAATGTAGCTCTGCGGTATTTTGGCCCATTCCCGGCGAAGCGCTTGCTTGAGGTGATCGACACTTTGGTATGTTTTAGTGCCAACCTTGCTTTCTAAAATACTCCAGACACAATAGTCCAACGGATTGGTATCCGGAGTTTTTGGTGGCCATTGTGCGCTGGAAATGAAGCAAGGAACCTCATTTTGTAACCATTTTTTTCCGATTTCCACAAACGGACAAATAGACAGACGGACGGGCATGGTTAAGTCGACACAGAAGAATGTTTATATTATGTAGGATCTAAAATACATACTTATTTCGAGGAGTTACAAAGGAAATGACAAACTTAATGTACCCTCTTTAGTATGGTGGAGGGTATAAAACAAAAACTTCGCTTTAAATTGGATGTGTGTGCCAAATTTCGCATGGGAAACTCCTCTTTCTTCTCTTTTGTCAAATTATTTTATTTAGGTTAAAAACGTCTTATGGTATGAATCATATCAATTCAGATAGCAAAATACAAAAGATAAGATTAAAAGCAGATGCATTTTTTAAACCTGACAACATTTTTAACAAAAATCAAGTAAAAACAAATTAAGTTCGTTCAGACCGAACTTAAAATACCCTCCATCATTAGCCACTTTAAATTACAAATACCAGTAAGATCGGTGGGAGAAAGCGTCAAATTTTCAAAAATCAATAAAGTGGATGGAACCGTTATACGGGGGCCGTAAAAAACGGGAACCTATATAGACAATGATATGCTACAAAGATTTTTATCTATTCCAAGTTTTAAACATCAAATTTGGAATAATTCCGTGGGTAAATGTGCCTAGAATTATTACAGTTAAAAAACAGTAAGTTCGGCCGGGACGAACTTTGAATACCCACCATTTGAAACGAATTTGGAAATTTTCAAAAAATAAAATCCTTAAAAAATTCTTTTAAAATTTTAAAAATACCAAATATAGCCGTCATATTGGCGTTTATACGACGTGGACCTACATAAACATTGTTTGTCAAATTCGAAACTTGAAATAAACGGTGAATAATATAGCTACAATCATCAAAATAGGGAGGGAGGGAGGTACCGTTATATCGGAGCTGTGCGAAGACCTGGAACTGCAGAGACAATTTTCTGTAACAGGCTGTAGCATCCATTACGAACTTCAAATACCACATCTCAAACAATTTCGGTGGGTATTGTACCTCAAATCGTCAAAATACCGAATATAGGGAGGTACTGATATATGGGGCCTATACGAAGACCTGGACCTGCATAGACAATTTTCTGTCACAGACTGCAGTTCCAATAACGAACTCTAGATACGAAATTTGAAACAAGACATGGGGACTATACGAAGACGTGGACCTGCACAGACAATTTTCTATCTTAGGGTGTAGTATCGATTTCGAACTTCAAATACCAAATTTGAAACAATTTCGGGGAATAATATCGCTAAAATCATCAAAATACCGAATATCGGGAGGTACCGTTATATGGGGGCTATAAGAAAACGTGGACGTACATGGCCCATTTACGAACTTAACCCGCCTACTGGAAAAATAAACATGTGTGCAAAACTGTAGCCATCTATCTCAATTCATTCGAAAGGTAGCGTGATTACAACAGACAGACGGACATCGCTTAATCGACTTAGAATTTTACGCTGATCAAGATTTTGTTGGATCTGACATGAGTATTTCGAGGAATTACAAACGGAATGACAAAGCTAATATACCCTCCATAGTGTGGTGGAGGGTATAAAAATACCGAATATCGGTTATTACCGTTATATGGAAACAGGGGACCAATATGGACAATGTTTTGATACCGGTTGTAGAACCCATAATGAACTACAAATACAAAGTTTTTTAAAAAAAATGTGTTACAAAATGTGTCTTAAATCTTTAAAACACCGAATGTCCGAAGATATCGTTATGTGTGCGCTATAGGAATACATGGACCTATAAATTGGTCTGCCACCGGAGCTAGAACCCATTACGAACTAAAAATAACAATTTTTAGACAAATCCGTGGGAAAATGTGGCTAAAACTATCAAAGTACCGAATTTCGCGAGCTAACGTTTAATGGAGGCTGTAGTAAAACTTGGACATATACAATTTCCAGCAGTAGAAAACTATACTAACTCTTAATATCAAATTTGGAAAGATGTGGCAAAAATCATCAAAATACCGAATATCGGGAGATACAGTAATTTGGCTGCTATACCAATACCAATGATCCGATATATCTCATTTCCAATACTAACCAAAAGCTCTACGTCAAATAATGAGGGGTGTATGGCGATTTCAATAGACAGACAGATGGACAATTTTAAATCGACATAAAATGTTATACTAATCTATATATATATATATAAATGAAAGTTGTGTTAGTTACTACGCTTATAACTTAAGAACCGCTGAACTGATTTTAATGATTCATACAAATTCGGAATTGTCTCCTATCCAAAAAGGATAATATACAAAAAAAAAAAAAAAATCACGTAAAAATGTGATATATTAACATTTTCATTTTGACTTTTGAAATGTACAATAGTAATGTTTTATTTTGCATGATTTTTTTCCATTTTGACTTACTTTTTTCTAATGTACATTTGAAGTGTTTTTTATATTTTATTTTTGAATTCGAATATTAATATCAATTTATTTAATTGACTTGATTTCTTGAGAACTGAAATTGATGACGGGTTACATGGAAGTGTAGCACCGAATTATGTGGTGGCGAAACGGAATAGATGATATCGAAATAATTTAACGCGGTCACACCAAAGTTAGAAGATAATAACCTTTTCAAAATCGCTAAAAAAATTACGAAAAAAGAGATCTTATTACAAAAATTCTCAAAACGGGAAAATATCGAAAAAAATGTCCAATGGAATTGAATTTTAAAATAAAAGTACATTCTATTGACAAACTTTGTAAGGATCTTTTGAAGTTGAAGATTTTTTCAATTTGTTATTATTCTTTTGTCATTTTTTTTTTTTTTCAATTTGTATTATCATATTGAATTCAGTGGATTTTTTGTGAACGAAATAAAGAATAATTTTTCACTATATACAATTTTTCACCAAAAAATGAAATAAGTGCGAAATACGATTGTAACTAACATCTACCTTTCAACTCCAGGGCCTACATCGTGCTTCAGCTGGAAGATGCGCAGACATTTAAACAAACAAAAATGACCGAAAAAGACTAATGGGGCTCATTTCAAAGCGTGGACCTACTTCTTTCATGTGACAATAATCCGTCCAATGAGAGCTCAAAATGCAAAAATTTTTGGGACTACAATCAGTAAAGTACCAAAATATAAAGGGTGCAAAATAGTAGAGCGAATGGGACTTTTAGTAAGAAAAGGATTTCTATCCTTCCAACAATTCTTCCCGAACATTTAAGATACCTTAAATCGCTTTTGCATGACCTGCAATATGATATATGATATCGATCATAAATAACCATTGTATGATTTAAGCTATTTTTGGAGTCTTCGTCATTTTCTTCTATTTTTGGCCCTTATTTGGCATCTTTGTTTCTAAGGGAGTAGAAAATTCTCGGAGTAGGGCCCATATTGGTCTTGACCACTAAAAAATTGTATTTATGCTACCCTGGCGTAAGGAACCATCTTACAGATAATTGCCACATAGAAATTTATTCATGTAAAGTCCCCACATTGGAGTATCCCCAAGTCCACT